CAAAATTTGGGGAAATAATTGATAGAACAAATACGTACCAGTTACAAACTTACATTGAAACACTATTTTAATGTACCGCCTCTCATTTTATATGTCTTACTGCATAATTACAAAGAAAGATTTCTTAAGATATGATATGAATGCATTAAAGCATTACTCTCATGAATACATTACAATAGTGGAATAACAAAATAAGCAATAGATATTTCACTGTTTAAGCTAAGAGAAGAGTATCATAGCAAAAACCCATATGTTTAGCATTTTTTTGCTTATTTACGTATAAAAAAAAAACAAAAAGCAATCTGTTTTCTCCAAATAATTAAATCTCTTCGTATAAAACGCTTTAAATGATATCTCCCGTGCAAAATTTCACTTGAAATACAAAAGTTGAAACAAATATGAGCCAAAATGAATATTCTAGAGTATTTAGGGATTAAGCGACCATCTTTGACGCCATCTTGGATTTTTAAGCTACGCATCGGACTTGAACCAAATGAATATTCATTCCGGAAACTACAGACCCAGACGAACAATTTGGTATATAAAACTTGCTGTTGGCTGACATAGACCACTTCGGTGTCATTTTACCCTATGAATTTGCAGCACTATTAACTTTCTTTCCAAATTATAAAAAGACATGCATTAACTTTGTAATAATCCACATAAATTTGCGACCAATTGGTACCACTGCAAATCCATCTAGAAATAAACAAAGAAAAGAAAAAGTATATTTATTTTTTCATAGGAAAATTAATACAGAATTCAATTCTTTTACCTACTTTCTTATCATCCCTTCGTTCTATGAGTATTCTCTCCTAAAATGAGATCAATCAATAAATAATTGAATAATATTAATATACTAGTGCTATGTTCACAATTAAGGGTTGTTATCAAAGATAAGCGTCAATTTGAGTCATGGATTTAAAGAGTTCTGACACCGGTATAAAAAATAGTTATGTACATTATTTGAAACAAACAGCTCTAGAATGGAAACAATTATTGATGGTCAGTTTTTACTAATGGTGGTATTATCTTCAATGAAAGGAATATTCATATCTCTTTGATGAAGATAATCCATATCACTTATAACAATAAATACAAATATTTCTTTCTAAAGTTACGGTTTAGCTAAAAAATATTTGTATTTAGTTCATGACTAGCCTGATTTTTTGGTAAATATTATACAATGAGTAACATTATTGTCCTCCCGCTAAGCTCAGCCGAAAGAGCAACGGACTAGTAATCCAGAGGTCGCTGGGTCTAACCTCGGACGAGGCGTATTTTTCCCTGAGAACTGATCTCTGATTTTGAGTCGTATGGCCATTTGTCTCACATCGCTGATAAAGAAATCATGTTGGATTAGTGGTCGGTCATTTCTGGCAAAATAAGTAATTACTGTTTAGTTATTTTCAAGAAACAGATAAGATGGATTGACCGCCGAGATAGGACCAAAACATGTGTTAAACTCGGCGTAAAAATAATAATTTAAACACAACAGCAATCCGTGATCATACACTAATGAAACTGAGCAGCTATTCTTCAACTATAACTTTTCACGTTACCTGACCTGGATATACGAAAACATCCAAAACAGGTATCATAATTCCAAACAGACCATATATTATATTATCATAACATCAAAAAGATAGAACGGAATGAGATTATATACCCTATGTTAATGAGACATGAATATGCACACTTTGTAAAAGAGAATTTGAGATTGTTTCTGCTTCTGGTTTTATGTGTAGTGGACTGCCTCTGGTGAACGTTGCCATTGCCTTGTTGATCTTCGTTAGAGCTGCAACTGTTAAAGTATAAGACAATGTGAAACACATTAACGCAGGTGGTAAAACAATATATACTTACAATTCCATGTTTATGTTACAATAGTTTTCTCTCAATTATTTGTTTATTTAATAAAAAGAAAATATTTCTTCAGATTTACTGTTAAAGTAAGAATCAAATTATTTGTTTATCTAATTAAAAAAGAAAATAATTCTTCAGTTTTATTGTTAAACAAGAATCAAATTATTTGTTTAATTTGACATGGCTTCTAGTTTATCTATCATTATTTGAAGCCCCTTAAACCTTAATCTACTTAATCAAATATGATAACAATTCGCCACCAGTAACAATACAAAAGGAAAACAAATCGCCCAATTTCCTTCCATATTTCTACTATCATGCGCAATGTTATCCAATTTTATGCATTATGTACAAAATCATAAAACAATATAAATATACATCATCGTCGGATCGGCCCGCATTACACTGACATTTTGAAGATAATGACGTTAACGTTCACTCTTTCTCACAGTATTGTCCTTCTGCTGCCATACATTTTTGATGACGCATCACCCACGACCGAAAAGAACATTGAAAAACCACTCCTTACCAAACATTTGGTCATTGACATATTTTGAGTTATTATCTTGTAATTTGTGGTTTTTTTTACGGATGTCACTTTTTCCCATATTTCTCAACCTGACATTCGACGTTCGCCATCAAGCATTTCCGTAATCTCGTCACAAGAGACACTTGGTATTCCAGACCAGCCTTTGATCATCTGCAGTAGACATACGGCCTGCTTTGAATCGTTTAAACCATTTCGACTGTACCCGACAATGTATTTTCTTCGAATGACTTCTGAAGCATTGTTATAGTTTCTTTCGTTGATAAATTAATACTTCAAAGAACTGAATAATATCACGCTGTTTTTCGAATATATCTCTATCAATGGCCAGTAAGAGCACCATGCCATTTAAACGTTGTTATTACGTCATTTAAATCTAAAATCATTCCAAAAGAGACGTCAGTTGTTGCTTTACGTCATTTTATTACATGCTTTTCGGTGGTTTATAGAAATATATCAGTGATTTAAAACTGGTAATTTCACTGTTTGAAACAGTGAAATTACCACTTTGATAATTTCACTGTTTTGAATTTAAGCCCCTTACGTTGTTTCAGTTAAATACCAGCGTGCACAGAACTGGGTACCAACTTAATGACGTGACGTCATAAATGACGTCACGTTGTATTATTATTTGGCGCGCTTTTCATTCAGTATTAGGTTTAATGTATTTTTAAAACGTTTCTTTGCATTTAATAAAAAGAAAATTTGTTTAATTTAGTGTAAGATCGGATTATACATGTATTTCACCTTGTGAACACCAAAAGTTCATATTACCTTTTGGTGCTCACTCGGTGAAATATATTCCGATCTTACACTGAACTAAACAAATATCCTCTATGTAATGTTCAAGATATATTTTAAGACAAAACGTGACTTACTGTGTATATTCAATCAAAATGTATATTAACAAAACACGACGTTGTTCTAACATGATATGTTTTCCTGAATTCGTAATTATAGACATCAGCAATATTTATTTGTTTTGGTAATAAATTTAACATTCTACTTTTTTGACATATTGGAAACTCATAGTAGGTAATAATTGCATGTGATTTTTTGGCATTGATTTAATGGCATGATACCACAGCTCCGTCATTAATGTAGTTATTATTAAAGGATGTTTTGAAATGAGGGACAGAATCTACTATTATCTCTATGCTTAGTTCTAATACGTGTTTTCTTGTAATATACATATACATGTATATTGACTTACTTAATAAGGTTGGAATGTACACATACTGGTACACATAAATATGAATATGTAACAATAAGCAAATTATTTCTTTTTCGTTTACTTATTTCAATAACTATAGAATTAAAGTGACATTATACTCATATTTTTATTGTCAAGTTGAGCTGAATTGACTTTATATTTCAAAAGATTGACTGTTCACTCACTATATACCTTTAGGTGGGCATAATGTCAATTTAAATTTCTTTAAGAATTCAATATGCGAATTAAAAAAAGGACTGAATTCTCGTGCCAGCGGTCAAATATCATATTTACATACATAACCAGTAACATTAAAACAAAGAAAATATGGGTTTACATCCAAATGTCCTTTGGTAACAAGAAAAGAAGTATAAAAGGAAATTCTAAAATGCTCAGAGAATACACAATAACACATTTGTATGTAAAGAAACTGAAATATACACTCCAATCTAAGAAATGTCCTTAAGCCTATTGTATGCTTTGTTCTCAACTCTTTAACCGAGTTATAATTTTCAGGAATATGTCACTTTGAACACATTTTTGAGAACTCAAGACACAGCAATTAAAAAGTTTTTGTTCTTCGCTTAGATAACGATTTGTTTCAAACGATATTGTAAGAATTGAATTCGATCACGTTTTAGCAGTCCCACATGCAAGTTTATTTCAAATAAAGTAATATCAATGATGAGAGAGGCAAGGAAATTAATGTGTTGCAGAATGACTAGATCGTCTGCACAAAAAGCATTTTTGGGACATTGCCTAGAATGGAAATTACAAGTAATTTGTCTACGTACTATATAGACCCATTGGGCTGTTGGACTCATTTTCACTGTATATGTTCTATTATAAACAAGAACACTGAATCCAAATATTTGTTTTATAAATAAGTAGTCTAGTAATCACTTAAACTTAAGATTCATTATAAAAAAGCCAAAGAAAATATTCTAGTTTATCTATAATGTTACAGTGAGGTTTAAATATCTTTATACAAGTATAATTAACAGGAGGATCACCAAAGTGTATGATTCTTTATATCGTTTTCAAGATACTTATCTTGCATACTGTTCTCGTTTTGTATTATGTCGTATAGGAATTACTATTAGTGACAAACAGATGTTTTTCATATAGAAATTTGATCATAACCTCGTTATATCTGAGAATCATATACGTATAGTGCAGGAAATGTATTGTAGTTATATTAAGAAGCTTTTGCATTTCTTCCTGAAGAAAAATATGAACATATCCAAAATACTGTATACAATTATTGCCATTTACGTTATTGTTATTATTTCATTAGAAAGAAACCATTGTCTCTAAGCTTGTTTATATATAGCAAATAAGCTGAAACTTCTTTACCGCTATACATATATTTAGGGTGTTTTTGATAGAGAGAGAGAGAGAGAGAGAGAGAGAGAGAGAGAGGAGAGAGGAGAGAGGAGAGAGAGAGTTGACATAAAAAGAGAGAGAGAGAGAGAGAGAGAGAGAGAGAGGAGAGAGGAGAGAGGAGAGAGAGAGTTGACATAAAAATGTTCATATATATTTGATATAAAACATCCTGAAACAATGCTTGCCTAAGATTTATTTGTTTCTGCCAAAATTCGTTTAAACGATATTGAATTTCAATTTAATTTCTATAAGATGTTGTAAGTGATATTGGGAAATTCAGATATTGAATGGTTTTCAGTACATCATCACTTGTCTAGTTGTGAAGTTTGTATTAACTGAAATGTGCGTTAAAACGGTGAGATTAATTAACCTCTAATGCTTTTATTATAAGGGAAAGTTGATTTATATTTACGCATGCGCTATCAAATATGAACGATTAACAAATAAGAAATAAGTGCAATGTAATACAAGCATGCTCAATCGTTGGCAAAAAGAGAGAACAATGTTCTCTTTGAGAACAAGAAAGTATTAATGTCATAGCTAGATGCTACGTCTGTTGACAATTTTTTTGTGCTTAAGTCATAAATCAAATGTTTTTGCTGCAGTAATCATACAGCAAAATCAAACTTATATCATTTATAACAATTTTTTTGTCATGACAACATCAAGTACCTCTTAGTTTAGTATCATTTTTTTATCTGGTTGGTATTTATTTGTTTGACTAGAACACACGTGCTAGGATAGCTTATTTTACAGCTAGAATGTATATTAATTCTTTGAGCATTGTTTATAGAAACATCGTGTGTTCTAACTTCCAGGTACCTTTCTTTCTACCTATATGTACTTATTATTGACATAAACAATTGGAACGTCAATACTTGTCAAGATAGAGAGGATACTTT